CCCCCCACACACACTCTCTCCACACACACACACACATCTTTCTCAGAGCCACAAGAGAGGATTCAGTTCTGACAATTAATTGTGAGGCAGCGTGGTGGAATCAGGCTCTCGTCAATTTTTGAGCATGTAGAGTTATTGGTATCATCGTAAAGCTTGTTCACTTGTGTTTATTTGGATGAAAAAAAATATCCATTTATTTTGAATACAAGTCGACATATTTGCGAAGGAAGGAGGTGGGTGTCACCTGTTTTCAGAGGTAAAAGTAGTTAGAAAATGGCCGCCAAAGATTAGTTATTTCCTTAGCTTAAGAGTCCGTAGTAACTGAAAATTTATATTTTGTGTGCCTTTAATCAACGTTTTTCAGAAAAATCCCACAGAAATGAGTTCTTTAATGGACATGAAAGGTGTTGAGCCAAAAAACAAAAAATTGATAAAAATTCACAAACTTGCGGAAACATGCAAGTTTCTTCACTTTGACTATTTTGACGAGAGCCTGATTCCACCACGCTGCCTCACAATTCTGCAATTAAGTTCTTACTCAAATTATGTCCAACTAACAACATAATAACTATAATATTTTTTAAAATTATTATTAAGCCATGCTCTGACTGTGCTGGTTATAAACTAATACGTGTTGTGCTGTGAGATATTTTAGTAGAAGACACATCACTTCCTGGTAAATATGGGTACAATTCATGAATTTTTATTCTAACGTGCACAAACTGTTGTCTTGGTAGACAAGAAAACAGATTTCCTTTTCCTGACAGACTCAAATTGAAATCTGTTTTGTGGGCACTGGATAATCAAGTGCAGATTTCCTTATTGGACACAGGGACAAAAATTGCTGATTTCCTTTTTTTCTGACGAACATAAACCTATCTGTTGGACACAGAAACACAAAAATAAAAAGGCGCGTTTTTAAACGCTGATTGACTAGTATGGTGTGGACTGTTGAATAACGATTATGTTAGTTTGATGAGTTTTCCAGTCTGTTGAACATGAAAAGAACTGCTGGCTGGGTCATTTTTTGCTGTTTGGCTGATGCTGTTCAATAACCATCTGATTACTCTGATTGCGTATACAATGTCAGTTTTATGTCGCTTCTAGTCAGTTGGCTTTTTTTTTTAATCGAAAATTGTGCTTCCTTCTGGTTGAATTGTATTTTTTTCCAAATTGTGTTGCAGTCTAATTAGTCCTACGATGATCGAGTTGTTGCCCTTTAAATTAGTCTCTCTCTCTCTCTCTCTCTCTCTCTCTCTCTCTCTCTCTCTCTCTCTCTTTCTCGCTCTTTTTTTTTAGATGGCATGGCTCACATTCACGCAAAGTGCAAGCATCGATTAAGCACTCAAACTCTTAGGCCTACAAACTGACAAGATCTTTCACATTCTATGTGTAGTCGGGTACTCATTCCCACCTCGGTGAAGTGTTGACAGTTCAAGTAAAGAACACAATGTCTGGTTCCTAAGGGGATTCGAACCCACGACTCTTCAGTCATCAACCAATAGAACAAGGTAACCAACCCCACCAGATTTTTCTTTACTAACATAATATGTGAGGCAACGGGGTGGAATCAGGCTCTCGTCAATTTTTGGGCATGTAGAGTTATTGGTGTCATCTTAAAGCTTGTTCACTTGTCTTTATTTGGGTGGAAAAAACATCCATTTATCTTGAATACAAGTCGAGATATTTGCAAATAAAGGAGGTGGGGGTCACCTGTTTTCAGAGGTAAAATTAATGAGAAAATGGCCGTCAAAGATTAGTAATTTCCAGAGCTTAAGAGTCCGTGGTAATTGAAAATTTTTATTTTTTGGGCCTTTAATCAGCGTTTTTCAGAAAAATCCACACAGAAATCAATTCTTTAATTGGCATGAAAGGTGTTGAGCCAAAAAACAAAAAAATTATAAAAATTCACAAACCTGCAGAAAAATGCAAGTTTCTTCACTTTGATTATTTTGACGAGAGCCTGATTCCAGCACGCTGCCTCACATATCATTGACGGAGTACCACTTTTCTGCACGACAGCTCAGCTGGTCTAGATAATAATATATTAATAATATTATTATAGAAATAGATACGAAGCCCACGTGGGGCGCTCAATGTTAAAAACAATCAGAAAACGACAAAGGCAGTTTTTGGGACACCTGAATAGACATAAGGGTCTTGAACATCTAGCTCTCACTGGCAAAACTGAGGGCAAGCGAGGCAGGGGTAGGCCCAGAACAACATACTTAGGGAACCTAAACAAATGGGTAACGGAAAGATCAGGGAAACATGGATTTTTTTAGTGCAGCCGAGCAAAGGAATGAATGGAGAACCATGATCGCCGATGTCTGTCGCAGATCTGGCACTGGATGATGATGATGATGATGATGATGATGATGATGATGATGATGATGATGATGATATGTACAATGCCTTTATACATAGGTACCGTTTTCCAAGTTCTAACATGTCATTTTTCCGTTTTGCAGGTTGAAAGATTGTGTATAAATCTGAAGAAATGGATACTCATGGAAATGGGCATGCTGGTGGTAGCATCAACAAGGAAATTAATGGCGCCATCAGCCAAGTAGGTGATGGCGATCATGTGGGAGGTCCCGTTGTTTCATCGGATGCTTCTGTTAGTGTGGCCAGAAACGGATTGAAGGTTTGTTTTGAGCTGAGTTTGTTTTGTTTTGTTTTTGTTTTTGTTTTTTCTGTCAGCTTTCTATGTATATTAGCCCAATCTCTATGTGTTAGTGTGTGTGTGTGTGCGTGTATGTGTGTGTGTGTGTGTGTGTGTGTGTGTGTGTGTGTATGTGTGTGTGTGTGTGTATGTGTGTGTGTGTATGTGTGCATGCGTCATGTATAAGAATATCCAGGAGTTGGTTTTGTGACAAGAAAGATATGCTTTGTTTATTTTTTTTAAAGGTTTTTTTTAGCTGTGCCTGTCTGTCTGTCTGTCTGTCTGTCTGTCTGTCTGTCTGTCTGTCTGTCTGTCTGTCCGTCCGTCCGTCTGTCTGTCTGTCTGTCTGTCTGTCTGTCTGTTTGTCTCTCTCTCTCTCACTCTCTCTCTCTCACTCACTCTCTGTCTCTCTTTCTTTTTTTCTCTCTCGCTCACTCTTTCTTTCCTGTCGGTGTCACATCGAACAGGTTGAGGAATGAGGATGCTTATGAAAAATAATCAAATAAATAAAGCCATAAATAGATAATTATCTTCATAATATGGGAAGGGGGGGGGGATTCCACACCCCCACTTACAGCCCTTAGAACCAGCAGAAATATGTTGACATTTACCTATAATCATTTGCTTCTGTCTCCCATGTTTGATTTTTTCAATTCAGCTTTTAATTTCTTGTATGTCTGTCTTTATATTTTCATTTTAGCATGTGTGCTCATGTGGGTGAGGAATTGCCCCACAATATTAAAATTTTAATTTAGTTGAAAAATGGATGTATGATAATCCATATTATGTTTTGTTTCCTAACTTAACAGACCTAAAGTAAAACTGTTGAGGAGGATGTGTTCTCTTTCTACTTAAAGTAGCTTCTGTAACACTGGTCTCACAATCCAATAGAAAAGTATAGTGTGGAATTCCCCCCATTTTACTATATTATGTCTTTGTCTGGCGCACAGGAATGTCTGGAAGCTGAGGAACACCCTCCCAAGGAGGAAGGGGGAGAGGGGAAGGAACAAGAGGCCGCGCCAGACGGGGGCTACGGCTGGGTCATCGTGTTCAGCTGCTTCCTGTCTCACGTTTTGTTGGGTATGTGAACTTACTTAATGGCAGATTGTGGAAGATCTGCGAGATAATCAAAACCATCAGGAAAGGTCAACTGAAATTATAATTTGGCTACGTAAATGGATCAAAAGGACCACATAAACTGCTTCTGTGTGGAAAGACAGAGGGAAAAGACGGCAGAGGGAGACAAAGAACAACATACACAGATGGCCTGAACAACTATGAAACGAATATAATATATATATAT